ATGTGAACAGGTTGGTTGGTTCGGTAAGCTTTTCCGTAAGCTTTCTCTCTCATCTTGTCTTCGTCGGTTGGTGGTACTTTCCGTTATCGTCGTTGTCGTCGTCAACAGCAGTTGGAGTTGCAGTGTCATCATCATCGCACGGAATTGAAATGCCAGTGTTGGGATCAACATCCTTACCATGGTGAGTGCAAGTGATCTCGGTAATTGATCCGTCGATGGAATTGATGCACCGAGACTTTTTAGTGGGCTAGCAGGTCGTGAAACCGGTGATACCGATCACGATGGAGAGACATTCGAAGATCTCGTGGTGATTACGGTGATAATGGCGAAAGTCCGAAATACATTGATCTTGGAGTGGTTGGAGATGGTATTGCGGAGTGGATTGTTGGATGTGGTGTGGTGTTCGTGATTTCTGGGGGGGCGTGCGATCGCGATCATGATCGTGATCACGACCATGACAGCTTCCCGGCATTCACATCGGAGCTGTCATGCCGTTGCAGGTGGGTTTTTCTAGAGTTTGGGTCGGGGCGTGTTTTTTCTTGAGTGTTTAACCTTCCGATTTTTGTTAGGACTTAGTCTTTTCACGAGAGGGGAAGGAAAACGCACAATCGTGATCACTATTATGACGGCATCCCGGTCTTTCCAATCGTCGGGGCCGTATTCTCTCATCTTGAATATATATGCATGCATATATATTCTAGGCGTGCATTATCCGACTTCATAAGATAATTAAACTTTTTTTTTTTTGTAATCGTGATCATGGTCGTGATCACGATCATAATAACATTTCGGCGTTGAAGTAGACAAAGCCCAACATGGTGAATATAAGGTTAATCACAAACAAGTCATAGGTATCGGTGAAGAACCCACTCCGGCTACGACACAGATTCGACGTGGAACCAGCCAAACTTGGCATTATCGATCTCTGCGAGAGCTTGTCTTCGTTTCTCACCGTAGTCCGGAATCTCAATTTGCTCCTCAATGGCAGTATGCTCTCCTTTCTTGTAATTTCGTTAGCCATGGTTATGCCTCACGATAAAGTGGATGATGAATGAGGATGAGGATGGTTTAACTCTCGCTGAACGGTGAGTTGAGTCAATTTTAGATATATCAGGATTTCAGTGACAGCAGAATCGATACTTTTATCGATCCCAGAAGGCCTTTTTTTTTTTTTGTTTTTTGTTTTTGTTCTTGTTTTC